CCTCCTCCTCCTCCTTCTTTTCTTCCCTGTTTGAAATAAATTAGGAGTTAATTACAGGAGCAGTCAGCAGAGTTGTTATTAGGCGATCCCTCCAGGGTTATAATCATGCCAAGGGGGGGGGGGAAAGAAATTGAAAAAAACCCAACAACAACTGAAAAGTCCGAGACGTTCATTAAGGCCGAGTATTATTATTTTTTTTTAAAAAAGGAAGTTCACAGAGTCCCACTTCTTGGTGTCTTTTTGGACCCATACCCCTCTTGAGAGGATACCTGGTACCCCCATTGTCCCCCCCCTTCCTTCCCTCCCCCTTCCCAATGGTCTAAAATCTGCACCTGGCTATCAGGGAGCATTTATACAAGGTCCGCACTGGAAAGTTAACATGCCGGTGATCTCCAAGCACGGCGGTGCTTCGAAGTAGCTGGGTACACCATCTGCGATGACAATTTATTCCTTCCCCGCCCCCCCCAACTAAAAAGCAGAGGGTAAACCGAAGCACCATCCCTAACCTCTTCCCCCCAATTCCTAGCAGCCAGAGGTGCTGCTGAGTCTTGAATCATTTATTTGCCAGGGGAATTTTCCCACCCACCGAGGCGGGGGGGGGTCCTCATTTTTTATTCTGATTTTTAGTTAAATCTCGACAGAACCCGTGTGCTTCTTAGAAGCGGGAAATTCGTGTCTTGTCCAAGCGCCCCGGATCCGATCTTGGGTTACAAACGTGTGTGTGTGTCTGCGCGTGCCCCCCGTGAGTGTGTGCGCTTGTGCGCGTGGTTTTGGGGGGCTTGGGTGTTTTGTCACGTGTGCCAAGGTGGCATTTGGAAGGTGACATCCAGCCCAGAAGAGAATGTCGCCTCTGACATTTCTCGTCCTTTCCTCCCACCACCCCCTTCCTTGGAAGCCTCAGAAACCCCGGCTTTCCAAGTGTGCACACCTCCGGCACCATTGGATTCCTTGCCTCTGCATTTTTCTTTTTCCTTAAAAAGAGAAACATTTTCTTTTAAAGCTCAGCTAACCCTACTCGAGCCCAAAGTGTTACCCACAGTAATTGCGCCCCTAAAGTCTCGCTGACGTCTCCCACCCCAAAATCGGAGCGGGGAGGCAAAGAACCAGCTCCGAGGCGCACAGAGGCCTCGGATCTCTGTACCCGTGGCAGGCCGAGGAGCCCAAGGGAGCTCGAAATGATTCTTCATTTTTCTTTCCTGCCTTCCTTCTCTCCTATACCTGACCCAGTTCAAAGTTGTGAAGGAACCTCCCGGTTCATGCATCTTGAGAAAACTTGACCCCTAACCCCAACCCCAAGATCCACAGCTTAGCCTGCCCACTCGATAGTTCTTCACCCCCAAACTGTGGTTGGAATCGGCTCCCCAATTGCTTCTGTGAGTCTGAATCTTCGCTGATCAGTTACATTTAGAGAAGAATTAGCAGAAGAAGAAGAATTAGCAGAAGAAGAAGAAGAAGAAGAAGAAGAAGAAGAAGAAGAAGAAGAAGAAGAAGAAGAAGAAGAAGAAGAAGAAGAAGAAGAAGAAGAAGAAGTTGTTTCTGAATAATCTTGAAAGCCTCTGGATTTTTCTTTTCCCTACCAACATATGATAGAGGCGCAGTTTTGTTTCTTTTTAAATAGTTCAGGGAGCGTTAAAACCCACGTCTTGGTTCTAGCTGACTTGAAGGGCATAAGAAACACAGTTATAGGTATAGCCAGATGATGTCCTGACTCTCCCCGACGCCCTGGCCCAGGTGAGGGCTGTGTGGTTTGGAATCCAACCTGAAATTCGTTTAGCTCTCATCTGCCAAAGTGTACAGAAGGCTTTAACGTTCCCTTGGGCTGAACCCAGCCCAGTGTGTGTTTTCTCTTTTTTTCAATTGTTCTGGAAAGCATGGTTCATATGGATGAACGCAGGAGCGCACAGTCAACCCGCTCCTCTTCCAAGGAAGGGGGTTCATTCCCAGTGCCACACTTCTTTCCTTTAAAATAACAATAACAATAATAATCCTCTAGGTGAAAAGAAAAACCCAGGTTTCTGATCTCCGTTCTGCTGAGGATCGTGGACGACCAGCGCAAGGAAGGAAAATAACAAAGCGAGTGTGAAGAATAGAGCAGAAAATAAAACAGAGAGAGAGAGAGAGAGGCGCACAAAGAATTTGCTCACCTTGGTCAGGTGTACCCCCCCCTTGCCGACCCCGAGAGAGGGAAAGACAGTGTTGGGATGCGGGCAGAAAAGGTGGGAACCTTAACCCAACTGGAGCCATTTTCATGAACGGGTGAAACCCGACTTTGTCCGTCCGTCCGTGCGCTCCAGGATTTGTTGCGCCCTGAGACTATTTATTTTATTCCCTTTCTCTCGGTTGGGGTCATCTGGTGAACCCCTCCCTCAGACCATTAATATATATTAATAGATGTTAAAATATTAACTAATATATAATGCTATCTATCTACCTATCTATCCATCCAGTGTAAGTGGAAAGAACATTTTACCGTAGAGTAGGAGAAATAACAATGTTTCAACTTTCTTTCCAGCGGGTATTTTTTTTTTTAATGAGTTGCGAGACCCCGCCTGGGCTTCTTTGTTTGTTTGTTGGCCATCCCCCCCCCCAGGGTAGGGGGGGGGAAGGACAGGAGGGAAAATCGGAGAGACAGCCCTGGGGAAAGGGGTGACATTGTCCCCAAAGAGAAAGGTACTCAGGGCCAGCATCAGGTAACTGCAACCCCCTCCCGACGTCACCTTTATAATAGCAATGAAAACAACCACCACCAGCAACCCTCCCCCCCAAAAAAAATGTTCCCAGGGTTGAGAATTTGGGCACTGAACCCCTATAAAGCGGAAGGACACTTTACAGAGGCGCTGGAGGAAGAAGATGGAAAGGGTGACCCGCGAGGATCCTGATTCCGCCTGCAGTCGCCATCGTGCGACTACTTAAAGATAACTTTGAATGAGTCAGCTTCCAATAACAACAACAACAACAATAACAACAACAATTTAAAAAAGAGGCGGGAGTTACAGGTGCGCGTCTGGGTGTCCGGAGAAACTTGGCGGTAGCCGCAGAGAAGGGAGCGAACGAGGGGCCGTCCGCATCCACCCTCCTTCCTTGGTGCCCAAGCCCCAAGATGTACCCCCCCAAAAGACCATGGACCCAACACACACACACACACACAGAGGAGGAGGTGATTTTCTCCCCCCTTCCATTTTACGCGCGCAAACACCTTTAAAACCTGGAAAGCGCGCCCCGTGGGCACCCCAAGATCACGCAGGGGAGACTCTGGAGTCATCACCTGCCTCCCCCCCCCCAAAAAGTGCATCTCCAGGGGAGGGGAGAACCAGTGGAGCCGGGGGGGGGCGCATTTCCCACCAGCCTGGACCTCCTCCTCCCTCACATCCCCTCCTTCCACCCCGCAGACCTAGGCGCACCCCTCCTTTTTTATTTATTGCAAATGCTCAGTCTTGGGGGTTCCCACTCAGGCCTTGGGCCGCTATGTCCCTGGGCTTTCCCCCCCCCTTCTCCCCATCCTCCTCCTGGGGCTGGTGCTCCCCAGTTCCATCTCCAGCTTATGATTATTACTGTTGTTGTTCTTTTGGGGTGTGTTCCTTGGCGATCAGAGTCTCTCCCAGGCTTTGAACACCCCCCCCCTTCCCCAGTAGTTCCTGGGGTGACAGGTGACGTGGGGAGGAGGGGGGGGGTCTCTCCCTCTCCACGAGGGCGCGCGCGCCCCCCTCCATGGTTTCCCCATCACCACCGTCACCAGCACCTCCACCAAACCGACCATCTCCTCGGTCTCCTGCGGAAACAAACCTCCAGGACCAGGCGTGGTAACCCGGGGGCTGCGGCGGCGGCGGCGGTGGCGGTGCTGGCGGTGTGGGTGAGTCGAGGAGCCAGCCCGGCTGTGGGGGTCAGCCTGGTGAGATGGTGGAGGGGTGACGGCGGGCTGTCTCCCCGCGGTCTCCCTCTCGGAGCGCCATCGGGCGTTCCAGCCTTAGTGACTGGTGGAGTTGGATGTCTGCGGGCCCGGGCTCAGACCTGGATGGGAACCGGGCCTCGGATTTGCTTTTCGCCCGCATGCCCGGGTCCCGACTCTTTCCGTGGATCGTTGGGGGAAGCCGTAGGGAGCGCTGCCCACTTCCCCCGGGCTGATGAGGACGGAGCCTGGGGCGCTGAGGGGCCTGGCCGGGGCTGGGGCGCA